TCCGTGGCGCCACTATATTCTGCTCATTTCTACTTCTTCAATTTCCTTTTCTTCGTGTCGCCCACAATGTCCTCGTAACAAATTTAATTTTCTTCTTGTCGAGACAAAAATTTGGCCTGGACTTCAAGGCGCCAAACTTCTCTCGCCTTTTTTTCTGTTAAAATTCTTTTCAGAACTTTTGTATGAATTTTTTTTGCAGATTTAAAATTTTTCCGAAAAATTGTACCATAAAATCCATTATTGCATTGTTCAAATCCTTTACCACTTCCACTTACATACACATACATACATTCACATGCACACACATACACGCATACACATACATCCATCTATCCACTGTTGTCATACTAATCAGGGTAAGGGGTCTTTCCTCCATCCTTTTCCTTTTTTCTACCATTTCCCGATTCTACGCTACATTTCTCCATCTGCGCACATTGGGATAGGATGGAAGAGATGTCTATTTGTATGCTTTACAGTTCATTCCTGAATTTCTCGACTTTTTTTTTTTTGTACATAGCTTTTTACTATTCATCCATCTTTTTATTATGGTACTGAATCCTTCCCTCTCATCTTATTTCTTTTCTATCACTTACCTCTCCATTTCACATTTTATATTCTGTTACTTTGATTATTTATAACTGATAACTCATACTAAGATACGATACAAAAGGGTTGATAGATTGATTGCGTCATCAATTCGATGATTTCATAAAAATCATCATTATATGTATATTTCGAAGTGACTGTTTGTTTAATTAAATCTAACAGAAAAAATAAATTACCCAAATGATATTCTAAATGACTTTTAAATTAGTCATAAATTTTACAACAAAAATTTCAAATTACCAGACATTAATCCGAATCCATCTGCTAAACGAATCACATCGACTATTTTATTTCATTGTACTACTAGAAGATATAAACTATATTGGGATAATTTTATTGTTTAATTATTATTGATCAGGTGTAACTGATAAATTTAGTGATAAAGATCCTGTGAATGATAATAATTTCAATAGTACCCTTTCATACTAAAAATATGACCAATCATTAATTCACTAACCAAGATAAGAGCATCAAAAGTGTTGAGATGATAGTTCTTACCGTAATCAATGAGAAATTGTTTTAGCTAGTTAGAAACATCTATAACTTGGTTATAATGTGATATTACCGATTATTTTCAATTTGCATTCATGCAGCTGATGGCTGCAGAATGCAGTTTCCCCTAACAACGGTTGCAAATTCTCCATCTGCACCTGCTTACGATGAATACATATTCTTGTGGCCCTGAAAATTAGATTTTTGTGTTGCATTGATTTTTAGAATGGTTTCGGCTTATTTTATGATCGCTGTTGAATGTGAGAACATTCCAGAAAGTGGAGTTAGTTTTCAAAATTTTATCAACCTTCCCAACTATCCCAAACTTGTTTCACAAACCTTTTCGTTTCTCATTAAAATTTCTCAAATAATAAGATTTAATTAATAAATCCAAATCTCAACAACTCATTCAAAATATTGCTATAATTTAAATGTAAACATACGGTTGCCGAGATCAGTACAAATAACGAATGACCTCGTATGAGTGAATGATTCTTCTGGAGGTGTCCTAATTTATTAGCCTAACAGAATGAACCAAAAAACTGTTATCTATCAATAGCTCATTTATTTGAATTGTAGCCATAAATTTCACACAATGCCAAATTATCCAATAGTATACTAATTATTTCTGACTCACACATCTTTCACTTCATTTAGACTGTTCATTAATATTCCAAATTTCGATATTGATTTTTATTTTCGAATTGAATTTTAATTCTGAAACTGATATGCTTCCGTCAGTTTAACTGAAACTTTCAGTGAGTGAAACAAGAATTGTTCCAAATATCCAATCATACTTAAAATTGCATTTAATAGTAATCCTACATTAAATGTGAAAAAAATACATTGATGAAAGTTGAAAATGGCTTAGGTTTACATCAAGAAACCAAATAAGAATAACTTGAGCTTGATGTTGACTGAAAGGTTACCTGAGACCTTCTAACCCCAAAGGTTACCTGAGAGAATAAGAGAAGAGAAAGGAAGAAAAATGTTGCAGGATTTTCGCTATCCTGCCTTTTACATAAATGTTTATAAGTATTTAATTTGATAATAACAATTTAATGCTAAGCTTACATCAGCAGCAATACTATTTCGTTAATTAATGGGGACTGAATTAGCACGCTTAAATTAGCATCAAAATTACGATAATGGTTGACATAAGGGCGGTGATGCGAGATATGTCACACGGATGATACAGAGATGATCTCATTTTTTAAATAATCATTTATTTGATCTTTAGTTTTTACTTCGTCTGATTTACTGAATAAAATTTCATGCATGAATGGAAAGAAAATAACGAAAATTTGATGAATAAAAGCAATCAAAATTTAATAGTACATTAAGCGTCCCATTATTATAAATAGTATTGCTATTGCTGTGCGCTACTGACGCTTGGGCTATTCGGAAGGCAACTAAACTGTTCAATTGGTCAATTTTATTAGGAAATTTAAGGCATAAATTTCTTGCCTTTTCCGCTACCTTCTTTTTACGTGATCCAAAGTTGAAGTTTATCGCATTCATTTCTAACACGTTTTCCGTATGCACATTCACGTAAGATGGTAACCTTTCCATCGAGGAAATCCATTCAATTACTTGGCATAAACCGATCGCCCTCTTTTTTCAGCGACATCCTATAATCACTTAATTCTAATCTGATTTTCCAGGCAATCCAACCAATCAAAATTTCACCGATAAACGCCCACAAAGACTTTCTAAGTTTGTTCATCTGATAACAAGAAGAGTGAGAGAAGTGGAGCAATAGCAAAGGATTCGAAGAGGACAGCTCCGCCTCTTCGACTTGGATACGGTATTTTGAGCTGCTACTACTACTACTACTGCTGCCGGCATGATGTGCATGTCTTATCTGCAGGAGGTGGTGTATTAACGGCAACAGCATCTGCAGCAGTGGCGGCAGTATTCAAATGCGCAAAGGAGCAGCAACAGTGCTATTTTAAGTAGTAGCAAGACGAGAAGAGTAAGAAGAAAGTGTGATCCATCCGATCCATCCATCCATCCATCCAACCAACCATCCATCCATCCATCCATCCATCCATCCATCCATCCATCCATCCATTCCATCCATCCATCCATCCAT